GCCAATTTAGTTAATTAATTAAAAACCACCACCTTATCTACCTTCCTACGGCTAGCTAAAGGCGCGTACGGTGTAGTCTAGTTAGCTCCGAAGTCTGACTAGCCAGCCAGCTACTACTATTACTACTACTCCGGAGTTGTACCGCATATTGTGCTGATTTCGCACTAACTGTAAACTCCAGTGCTAGGTAGGCTAAATTCCGTAGTGGGATCGAGGAATTCGAACAACCCTCCGATCCGGATTTAATCCCTCCCTATATCAAAGCCACCTATAGCCCCATTGCACTCCACACACGCATCCACTTCTGGAAACAGACAGGAGGACTGCAGAGTAACGACCAGGATGCGGATTTCCCGATAAATCAAGGGGGAAACGGTGGTCTCGCTCAACCACGCGCGAGTGGACCAGCGCCACTCCGGCTCCATCAACCACTGTGGGGCAAAGGTAAGAAAATGGAAAATATGCGTGCGCGCACGCGAGAGAGAGAGAGGGAGAGAGAAAGAGAGAAAGAGAAAGTACGAGAGTGAACAAGAAAATGAAGGCGTAAAAAATGGAAAAGGAAAAAGAAACCCGTTCAACGGTTCCTGAAAAGGGCAATAGTGACTACGGAGTACGTGCCGCTCGTCCAGCCCACCCACCCACTCCCTACCTCCCATCAACCGTTGAAAGTGGAAAGGCCTGTCGAAAATCAACAATCGTTAGCCTCGATAGAGTCCAGATGCGACATGAATTTTCCGTCATCGACTCGAGCGATCTCTAGGATCGGCGGGTCTAGGTATTTTTTTTTCTTTGCTGAATTTCGGGGAGCAGCTGATTCATGGTCATTGCCCGTTGGAACCAGTAACTCTAGGATCGAAGTATCCATCTTTTTCTAGTTCATCTTCTGTTCTTCGACAAATTACTTAACTGTCTCCCGTATATGGAGTACGGGTTCTGGAAGACGGGACAAGCAACCATCGGCTAGAATTCTAGGACAACGGCTCAGGCGCAAGTGGATCGCAGTATCGGGTGTGCCTTGTTTAGTTTTTCTTGCTCCAAGCGCGGATGAACACGGGATCTGCTACGAGCCTACGACTCATACCATCGCCATAGTGAGGCTGGGCTGGCGGGCTGGCCACCAGCGTCTACTCTACTTTCCTTCCAAGAAAGGAGCTCCTTCTCTTCTTGTACATCGTCCGAAGGTTCCTCTTGGTGTTGAAGAGAGAGCTAAGGGAGAGACGGTAACCTGGAAGCCGAAAAAGCTCCGCCTACGGCCGAAAACCCTATAGAATCTAGGTAATATAGGTGGTTAGTTGCTTTGGTACGGAATAATAGGTTGTTTTTACCTACGTGCTTATGGGCCCTGGTTTTGCTTATTTTACTTGATAATAATAGTCTTCCGTTGCACTAGGGAGCCGGGGGAAAGGAAGGATCGGGGAAGGTGGGTTATAGTAGAATGTGTTATACTTACTCTATAGATAAAGAACAGCAGTCAAGATGGCTAGCTCGGGTCTAAGGGGCCTATTCCAGCTTCATTGGATAGTGACTACGAAGTACGGAGTAGGGGTCTGGCCATGGACTGATGTACCTGTACCTGGGCTTGTACTACATTTGCTGGTATTTCTGTATCTTAAGTTGACGGTACGGTGTATATCATGATTTTATATGGAGATACAGCGTAGTGTTACATGTATTGATGATGCTTAATAGATACTAACTCTAGTATCCAGATAATCTTGGTGTATTTTGTATGATCTGTATTATCCCGAGGAAGTACTCCGTAGGCAGGTGTCCGTAACAGGCAGCCAACTAAATCTTGGTACGTGAAAGACAGAGGTCACCGGAGCCGATAAGGGGTGATGATCAATTTCACGTGTTTTCGCTCCCAGCCCGATGGGAAATGAGATATGAGCGATGAGGTGGGACAGAGCTAAGGTATGCCTCTGGAAGGTGACCTACCAGTTACCAATGACTGTCTGTCGGGCTATGGGCTTTCACTGCAGGTAATCTGATGGAAATCGGCCATTGGGTGTGAGTGGATGTGGAATGTACGAGGCGTGTCTAAGTATGTGCTGCGTACTTCGTATGTGTGAGCCCAATACCTGTTGTATAAAAGTATATTTTACGGTGTCTACGTAGAGCAACGCGAATAGTGATATCTTCCCCGTCCGTCCGAGCGTATCGGACCAATTCCAATCCGTGGACAAGATTTCAAAGAAATAAAAGAAGATTAAAAGAAAGTAAGCAGTTAACATAAAGATAGACCGAGAATTTAGGGAAAGGGGCTGCTTGGAAATGAGATACTCCATGCACACATACACGACTTCATCCTTCTCTTTGTGCCCTACAGTAACACGGTACTGGGATTCCCGTATCCTTGGTAACACATTGAGATTACCAGCACAGGTACCTGGGACCTAGCTCTTACCCATGGAAGACTTTGGTGGTACGGAGTTTAGTTATACGACGAATATGATATTGACAGTATCCTAATTCTGAAGCAAAAATGGCTTCTATCGTATTGATTTACCTATCTCCTGTCCCCATAACTTTAGTCGTTAGTACCTCCGTCCGGAGCTTTGGAACCTTAGTCAACATTAATAATACCCGGCAAAAGTGAAGATCTCGAACTCGGCACGGGTCCAGGAAAAAATGATGATAAACATCATAACCAACGAAAGAACGAGAAAAAAATATGGGAGAGAAAAGTACTCAGTACGGAGTAACAGTTGGACCCAGATCAGGAGACCAAATGACTGGTCGCCGGTCAGTCAGAGTCAGGCTAAGGTAGTTAGATAACTCCAGACGATTCCCAATCGGTCGGCATGCAGCAAGCCATCAACCCCCCAAGCCTAGCCCAGCAATGATGCGCCGGGTTAAACCGCTTTTGACGAATCCCCCCAGCTGTCAACCTGCTCCTTCGGGTCAAGACGTCGGAGTGTTTACCGGGACGGTTCCACAACGAGGTTCCTCGTCGCGATGTTGCTCCTTTTTTTTGTGGTTTTTTCATTTGTCCCCCCCCTTTTCCGATGTTCTCGGGGATTTCGGCCTTCCGGTTGGAATCCAGTTGTTGTTGGCATTCGGTGCCCACTACTGCCCACCGTCCATAGTACGGTTTCACTAATCATGAAATCTATCGTAGGTTGCGCGGAAACGGATCGCAGCATGCGGTCAAATGTACTCGACTGCAAGGCTGGATACTTAGTTGTCACGTCAATGTTGGTGTTTGAATCCTGCGTGTGCCCACTTCCTTCCATTATTAACTGTTTCTAAATCGAATTTGTGCGTCCATACGAAAGATGGACATCGCTAATGTCCTATGTATCCAAGGAGCAATCGGCTACGTCTAGCAATGAACGAGTCAGGTAGAATATACGGAGTACACAAGTGCGTAAATGATGAATATCACCCGTGCACCCACCCCCTAATGAGCAACAGAGAAAGGGAAGGGGAGAAAAAAAAATAAAAAGAGGAACCGCGACGGGGGGGCGACAAGCTCCCCACCAAAACAAAATTAAATCGAAGGTCTTACCGAAGAAATCCAAAAAAGAGCAGTCCCCGTTCGCGTCAATAATAGCATCGAATAAAGGAAAATTGCGATCGTATGTAGTGTACTCAGCGTCGGTCTCGGTACGGAGCACTTGCGCTTCAAGACTCTTTCCGCATAGGTCAAGACACTTGTCGCTCCCTTCCCTTCTGGTAAAGGAAATTATCTGATCATCATTATTGAGCGATCAAAGGGCCCGGTGGCCGGTCTACACAGTAATAATTGCCCGTCCTTTTTTAGCGAGGCAACCTCCAAACGGTCGCAACGGTCTCTGGGCCATTCTTCTTGGTGCTGTCGATCTCATCCGCTGCCTGGTCCACCACCTCCCAGCTCCGTGATCCATCGTTTCCTGTCATCTGCATGGTCACCGATGAATCTTCCCACCCTACTCCGTAAAGAGGGAAGTAATTTACCTAGCTAGTTGAGCTATCTAACTATTGGACTTTCATCTACACCGTAAGTGCCTGGGCATGGCTTGAGGATATTTCATACTAGCAGTCTAGCCCCATAGACGTCGGCAGTTGGGGACCCAGTTTCCTTGGATGTCTCCCGAAAATGTCCGCTGTTGCGTGGTTGGATAAACCAGGACTGTCAATTAGGAATTGAAAGACAAGGGAAAGAGAAAATGAAAGGGATTGGCTGATATGCCAGCCCCCTAGCACGGAGAAGTAGGTGTGTTGGTGACTTGGTACACGGGGTAGGTTCGTCTTTCTTGGTGTGAAAAAATAAGAATAAGATAAAATTCGTTCGTTGAACACCGGCATTTGCCACAACCTTCTCCTCCGTACTCCATACCAAACAAGACTCGATCGGCGATTACCTGTCTTTGATCAGTCGGGACAGAATCGAGCACAGAGAGGTGTTAGAATCCCGCCCTTGTGGATAGATGCGTGACACAAACGGCTTGCTGCACCAAGAGGCACAATGGCGTTGCCGTTCTGACCACCACGCGCAAAAGAGTGTCATCTTTTCCCAGATCGACTCGGATAATAAAACCATAAGTCGGTGTATCTGAAGTGGGACAAAACCCCACTATGAAAGGACCGTTGGCTCTAGTTTGCCATAATGGGGCTTGGGGAGGGGGGCCCTTGCCAGTCACCACCGCTCATCCCCATAATAATCTGGCTAACAGACTGATTATTGCCGGAGCCCGTAAGAACGGTCGATCAGAAGCAAATTTCATATCGGGGATAGTAAAGGTAGGGGGGCCGGGGAGGGGAGGGGAGAAGGAACAGAGAAGTTGGCGGGCCCTGTTTCCGGTGATGATGATGGGTACCGACCGATCCAGTACACCGTACACCGTACAGAGTACAGCTGGACGGGGTCACATCATTCACGGACATAACTGTGTGGCGAGAGACATCAAAGATGACCCTATGCTGACTGAATTTTCGAGATCAGTCTTACGCTTTCGACTGATGTCATAACTAGAGCACAGGGGCCAGTCCAGACCGAGGAGGCTTTAAACGCGCGCATGCAGGTTGAGCAGAAGGAACAGGGTACTTTCGAAATGTGGAGTATCGCTTATCCCAAGATGTTGCAGCAACTCGATGTACGGTACCTATTACCAAAGCACTTGACCGGCGGGATGATGTCGGTTGGAGTCGGCTTGCAAACCAGTCCCAGTCTGGACTTAGCTGCCATCTGGTCAAAGCGCCGCATCGTCCTGGACTCGGCGACTCGAGCGTGCAGCGTGCTGAAATCTTCGGGATTTGTGATTTTAGCGCCATTCCGTCGGTGGTACCTCAAATCCCAAGACCTCCAAGGATTCTCGGCGGAGCCCCTGATAGACGAATTTCGACATTGTTATTCGTGGACTCACGAAACGAAATAGGGGGTAGAAGAAGAAAAAATCGACAATAGTGGTATAAGAATCATCAATCAACCTAAAATTCAGCCGATTGATTTAGTACTACACTAAGTAGTGATGTTGAGATTGAGTAATTTTTTGGTCCTTGAGATGCCATGCCATCCCCTTTCTTCGGAGGAATGAAACCCAGTGGCGGGTCGAGGGAACGGAGGATTAATCCGTATTATTCATCAACAACATCCTGACAGAAAACGTTCCGACCGGTGTTACGAGTCTGATTGGATTAGTCGAATTCCGGGCGACCGTTGGATCCATCACGGGTTGGTCGCTGTCTGTGCACTGGTACACCGTACAACCCAGGTATCAGCTTGAAGAGCTGGGAGCTGGGAGAACCGCTGCCAAATCGAGATCGTTAGAGTACACCGTAGAATCGGGCGTGGTGGACACTTTCAGCCTTTAATTTATCGAAGCGACACTTACAGAAGTGGGAAAAGAAATGAAAAGAAAAAGGCAAAAGGCAAAAGCAAAAAAAAAAAAAAAGAAAAGGTAACACGAAAATAACATGTACCCATGCAATCGCTCATTTCCCCAGATCGAGATGTCGGTTTGCGTCAGTTCCGATCAGTCTCCTTGAAGCATCACATGTTTATCGCTATTGTTCAGCCCTCCCCGATGCCCCCAAAATTCCTCTCCTTCAAGTGATCTTCGGCCCACAACTCGTAAGAAGGAGAACCCCCTGGTGTTGTTTCTTGCCTTGTTAGGCAAAGACCGCAGGGTTGATCTTCCCAAGACAATAGCGCCATCTGTTAATGACTAGTTCAATCTAGGCCGTTAAAAAACGAGAACAATCGTAATAATAGAAAGTCAAAAAGAATAGAATCCACTCGAGAGCCGAGGACTGGGGCCACAGAAAAAAAAAAAAAAAGAAAAGAAAAGAAAATACAAACCAAAAAGCGGCAGTAGTCAACTGTTGTTAGCCGGGGTTCAACATGCAGGTAGTCTTGCGTGGTCGAAGATCTTGTGGTTCCAGCAGGCATGATGTGTCCATCCTAACTCCGCCGGTAGGTAAGGAGTGTAAATGCTGGTTGCTGGCCGGGACAAGCCAAGGGGAGTTTGCTCTAGTCCAGCTTGACGGAGCACAATCAATCTGTTTCAAAGAGTTTGCAGATGAAGCTAATCGTCGTGGTGATGGAGGAGGGGTAACGGCCGTACAGCGCCTAAGCGTCTGTCAAACAAACCTACAGGATCCGAGACACGCTGGCTGTCACATAAAAGTGGTGAACATGTATCTGTACTCAAGTATCCAGGTAAACAACTGTACTCCGTACGGTGTACACAGGAGTGGCTGGCCCCCATAGATAATCATAGACGACGGATTCGATTGGATCGATTGGCTTATTTCCTAGATCACTGGGGGCGAGCAGTTCGACATTATTGATTGCCAATCATTCGTAAGCGCAAATCTTTGCAGCTGCAATGCACAATCGAATAGGCGATACGAATGATACGGAGCAAAGCACCCCAGCCTTGTAACGATCTGTAATTCTCTGGGCCCGATAAACTCGAGGGGCACAGTCATGGTACGCCGGTGCTAGTCATCGAGATCGAGCAGTGCCGACATGCGAAACCGAATCTGATCCGTTCAAATAACAGGTCACGTTTCCTGTGCGATTCAAAGAATGTGACATAGATCGTAGGTTCGTTTTTCAGTACTATCCATTGCATCCACCTACAGCAAGGACGGCAATACGGAGAGCTTGCGCCCATTCCTTGTGACACAGGGGTTGGAGGCTGGAGAGAATGTCCGATGAGGTCCTCCATCCCCCCTTCTTAATGCAGGAAGCCAGGGAGCGTAACTACTAGGGGGAAAAAGAAAAAAAGTAAAAGAAAAAGAAACCAGCCAGTTCTGTGCAGTACCTTACACAGTACTCCTACGGAGTGGTGGGGATGCATACATGCCGGAGGCTGCGCATGCAGCCGGAAGAGGCAACAGACAATGTCCGACCGATAGTCATCTTTCAATCATGTCCACCGACTGATCTTAGCCACATGATGAAGAGGAAGGTGCAGCCAAAAAGTATCAGATACAGGAAAGCCGAAGTCAAGATACTTCAGTCTTCGTAAACATGTGAATCTTCCACAGGCCGTGAGCAATTACTCAACCGATGATTTCAAAATCCCGCGCCTCAAACTGGCGTCACACCAACCCACGGTTCCCCTCATTTTGGAGTCGAGGTCTGGATCGGGTTGGATGGAGGATAAAACAATGCGCGCCTCCGCTGGTTATCTCCCAATCATGTGGTCCGGATCTCGGCTGGATCGACCCCCTAAGAAACCGCAACGTGCATGTCACAGATACTGTACGCTGTACTTAACCCGGTCTAACTCCTAAGGTAGCAGCGCATGTTATTCATTGTTCACCACCCCCCCCCCCCCCCTTCATGCGACAGAGCCGTGACACTAAAAGCATGGGTCCGGAAGACAAAATGGTGAAGGATTCGATATAGTTGCAAGGGTCATCATTCGAGACCCGACCCTATCCCAAGACAATCACCCTGTATTACTAGCGATTATTCACTTACGGGTCGGGTTATTGAGACTCAGGGGGCTGCACCGTAGACATGGAGTAGAGGAGATGATGCGACAACCGTGTGACCCCGGGGTAGCTTTTTTGGGGAATTCATCCGGATCTACGTATAGACGACTAACTAGCGATGACGATGACGATGGTTATTATTAGGACAGGTGGTGGTGTGATATCAATTAGTATTCCCTCCAACCAACAGCGAATAATCCCTAGGACGTAGAGGGAAGGTCCCATTAGCAATCAGGATTTACAGCGTATACCGTAGGTGCCGAAAGGAGACTTGCATGGGGCTGACCAACCTCATTCAGGGACAATGGAGGCCAAGGCCTACACACTGTACGGAGTACGTCGTTCATCCCCTCCCCGATGCCCTAACGCACGTTAGCAGGACTCATATCTCTGTTCGTAGTCCACCCCCATTCACTAACGCCGTCGAACCTCCCATTGTTGATGCAGGAATTATTGACCAGGGCATGCAAGATCATCTAAATTAGATCAAGAAGATAAATTAGAAAATTTGGTAAGCCGCAGGATCCAACCTCTCAGACCGAGGAGGATGATCGAGATGACGATGGTGCCACCCACGAACGGCTATGCCCGAGATCTCGAGCAAGGGAAAGCGGGGAGCGTTGTACAGTACCATGGAACAAATCACCCAGGTACGAGGGGGAATCAAGATGAGATTGGCTGTATGTGCCTGTATGTCGATAGATATACTTGCAATTTTTGTACTTGTACTTATATTTTACATGTTTGTTTTATTCTGTTTCATTCCCGTTTCACTTTCTATCTTCTTCTAAAATAAATAAATAATAAATAAATGGGCGCTCCTTCTAGTTTTCACGAATTTCACTCTTAGTACTCCGTACTGTGTACTGAGTAGGTGTATGTTGTCTCTCGAACCCCTGAGGGCTTGAGACCAACACCAAAGCGTTGAAATGGAAAAGATTGGCCTCTTCTTGCAGGAGGGGATCTGACCATGGCTGCAGCCAGGCTTTGGGTGCTTGTGCCGCGCTGGCGAATGGGTGATCAGATCTCTTCAAGTTGCGAATTTTCAACGGTGCAGCTTCTTTTTTTTCGCGCATTTTTACTAGTACTATTATTAATTATCCTTTTGGGCTAATTGCAGACGCCGATGAGTGCAAGCGTGTCTTACTGATGTGCGATCCGGTTTCTCCACTGCGATCGTTACCAGATCTGGGCCAAGGAGAGACAACTGCCCCCCCCCCCCCCCCTCTGGTGCAGGTTTGAATCACACCTTCAAATGACGTTCTTGGCATCCATCATCTCCTCGGGTCTTGACCTGAGGGGATGAGGCAGTCTGTGAAGGTTAACTTTATCTGCCCGGGAGTACGAACTACCTTGAGATACTGAGGATAAGACGGATACTTTTGAACCTTGTTGGATGGGCCGTTCTATCCCCTTTCGTCCTGATTGAAGAAAAACGTTAAGTCTGTGTATGATTCACACAATTTCCGAGTTTGATCATTATTTATATTTCAAGCAGACACTGGCTCACGTTGGTGTTTTGTAAGTCAACTCGCCACAGCTTTGGGAAAGACTTTACCGTATCATAAAATAGGTAACTCTCTTTGACATATATTATAATGCAGAGTCTGACTCTGTAGGCTCCTGATGCCATTTTTCTCTGTGCTGCTCCCTCAGATCGTCGTACAGAAAGAGTCAAAAAACATATATCAAGGTACCTGGATAGTTGGATAATGGATTGAATTTCATATTTTACAGACAGCTAATCTAAGATCTACTTTTCTAGCCAAATCAAAGTGAACGGTGAACACACCATTAGATTCCCTTGAGGGGATGATCTTGCTGAAAGCGTGTGAGATCACCATATCCCCTGTATTCTCCCAAGTTTCTTCCATGTAGCACTCGCTTAAATATTATTGATGTTAATTTCTAATATTAAAAGCCATCCTAATTTTTTGCCTTCCTTTTTCCTTTTTTTCCTCCCTCCCCCTCAGTTGCCCACTGGGGCTGATGAGCTTTACAGAGTAGTCCACCAGACTGTCACCTGTGCTAACTCTCCCGCCTCTCTAGTCTCCTTCCTTTTTCTTCCCTTTTCTTTTTTAAATTAGAGCCAGTCAGCCGTTCCTCTAACTTGCGTAGCCTGCGATCTACGGATCTCGATTCTGGCCTTGACCCATCGCCAACAACGATATGGACCACTTGTGGAAATAATATTATTATTCTGGCGCACCTACCGTACATACACCCATACACCCATACATACACTCGATACCTAAGGTACTGCATTCTTAAGATACCGTACGTAGTATCAGAGATATGTATGTATATTAAAGAGGTAATATACGGTACATACATACAGCATGTATCGAATTAAGATGCTTTCGGTTTCTTACAGAGCTGATAGTTACACAATACATTCCCCGTTTCCAGCGCCATGGGATGATAGACACCTTCCCACCCGAACGTACCGTAGGACCGTATCAAAAGGCAATCTGCTTTTCCCGTCACCTTGGATCTTGGTAACCTACTACAGTACTAGGTCTTCTTCAGGATTATGGGTGTTAGTTGTCATGACAGACTTGCATCAAGATCCATTCTTACAATTAGGAGCTTGTAACACTTCCCTCTTGACTCAAAGCATACCGCGATATAGGACATAATGTAGACTGGACAGATCTGGGTGTAACTGTATATAGCTACCTAGCAGTAGAGAAACAGGTATCAGACCACTACGAGGAGTACAAGGTGCGGAAAAGGCGAAAGGAGAATCGGGGAGGTATTAAATTACGTACAGTGTACAGATTACGGGAGTAAAAAGAGTGGGGCAGGTCACTAGATCAGTCGGTTGGTATCTCTGATATTTATTCTCTTGCTGGTCTTTTTTTTTTTTTTTTTTTTTTCACTTTTCTTATTTTCTCATCCCCCTCCCTTCCTGCCCTTCCTTTTGGGCCAGGGACAACTCCCCTGGTAAGGCTCCATCGCTCTCCACCAAGATACCCGCACATCGCCAATATGATCCCAACCCACTCCACACTTCTTCGAAGATCCGCAGTTCGCAGCCCGTAAAGCTTCTGTAATTCGCCGTAACTTTAAACCGGTCACGAATGGCAGTGTGAGTTGACGATCTTGTAAGTCCCGTTCTGGCTTCTGTCTGTCTCTTAATTTTCCAGGTCTGAGCTCATCAGCGCTGGGCCGACGTAGTTTTAGTAGCTCCTGTTTGGATCCTCCCATATCTTCCTCTCTCGCTCTCTCGTGTGTGCGGGCCTGACTGTGGCGGTCTTTTGGAATAGTCTTAATTTGCTAAGTGACAGTATTTTATTTTCTTCGATTTTTTATTTTCCTCAATCTATTTATTTATTTTTAAAATTATTCTTTTCTCTCTCCCTCTTTTTTTCTTTTTCCTGTTCACCTATTTATTTATTTTATTTTTATTTTACTTTTTAATTCTTCTGACTATATCTTTTTCTCCTAGGTTATTTGACTTAACTTACCCTTTCTCTTATTTCATCCTCCGTTGTAGGAATTATAATAGCTTCCTTCTTCCTTGCGATCGCTGTCATTCCTATGCCCTCCCGCCACCTCGTCTTCCGCTATCTTGCTCGTCCTTTCTGATTTCTTGCATTCCAAGCGAGACGGAGAGCTAGGGCTTTTTTCTTTTGGGAATAAAAAAAATTTAGAGGGGAAGAAAGACTTATTTCTTCCTGATATATTCTCCTCTAATTTGTTCAAATTGCTAATATCCAATCCACTCCGACACCCTTGACATTTCATCTGATCTTTGGGCTCCCCTCCACATTCCTCTATCTGTTCAATCTCTTTTCCTCTCCGACTTTGTTTCTCTTTGATCTTTCCCTTACCTTCTTCCATTACTTTTTAATTCATAATCCTTCCTAATTAACATTCTCTCTGAGAGAGAATTTGAAAACCAGAAAGAGAAAAGAAAAGGCAAGAAGGAAAGAAAAAGGCCAACAACCTCCCCCTTCCCTTCCACGCGACGCATTCATCGCTATCCCTTGCGTGTACTGCGCCTCCGCCGCTCTACTCCCGTCCGCAAAGAAAACTCAAACACGATCAATTCTATCTCACTTTTCAAATCCGACCCCGAGAATTTGACGGGTGAAAATTCACATTGGTTCATCGGGTGCATTTGGCTTTGGACAGATGGTTATTCGAAACGCTGGAAGGGCCGTTCCGATCTGATCTGTTCGCTGCGCGTTGCGGGAGCGTGCCGTACTTTGGATTTCTTATTCTTTTCTTTTTTTCTCTTTTCTTTTTTTTTTAAATTGCAGTCATTATTGCTCGGCTCTCCGCTGCCTCACCTGCTATCAAATTAATTGCAATTTGACAATCGCGGGCAATCGCGATCGCATCGCCTGCAGACTGCCTGATCCCCCAACGCCACTCTGCTTTCCACGCATTGCCGTGCCGTCGACTGGTGGACGCTTCTGTTTTGGTCGATTACCTAGCTGGAGCCTTTGCTTCCTCAGGCCGTTCCTTCCGCATCTCGGGTCCGATTTAATCTCGCTGTTCACCCCCCACAGCCGCCACCACCCCCAGACAACCTTGGGTTGAAGGGAGAGGTGGCACTCACCGTGTGATTTGTGATTTCATCTCTTCGCTCTTCCTTCACTTTCCTCACTTGGTCTCCCTCCCCTCAGGAGCGAAGAACGTCGCAAATCATTACATCCATTTGATTTACCTCGTCGCCAGGTCTATCGGTGACGCCTGATCCTACTACTGAACAGCTTCACGTCCTTTATTGCCCACTCGTCCTGTTTTGAATTATTATATATTGTCGCGGGTTTCACAACACTTTCGGTATTGAACTTCCCGTCGGAATACGGCCTACCTCCGGTTTACTTTCGGATACGGTACATCGCCACGCTTGTTGCAACGGGCTCTTGGCGGTCAATGAGATCGCGGTTGAACGGGCTGCTATATAGTTCGAACCATTGGCATCATGGGGTCTTTAGAAGCTGGCCACAGGCATAGGTTTGTTTCGCCTTTCCTTTTTACTTTGCTTCCCTCCCTCCCCACTATCCCTCAAGGACTTTCTCATCCACCACTCTACTACGTCCCCCGAAGGGATCCATAATTTCAATGTTGCTAATGGTTCATAATTTACAAATAGGGACCATTTACCAGCTCTGGGTCTTTTGAATAAAGAAGGCTCTGTATACCCTCCTAAACACGCTGCTTTTACATCGGGAACCGTTACATCTCCGGCACCACTTCTTAGCCCGACCAGCATGTATCCGGGCCAACCACTACCCTACTCCTACCCACCGTCGACCGCCAGCGCAGGATCTATTCCGGCTGGATATATCTCGCCCCCCGATTCACGTCGCGCATTGGAGGAGGAGAGAGAGAAACAACCCCAGAGACAGTCTCTCCCGTCGATCCACGAGGCTCTCGGCAATGATAATCCCTTACCATATCCCGCTCCCACTTCCGCACCTCCCCAACAGTCGCCTCATGCACCACCACCTCATTCCGTTCCCTCCAACCTCATGGGGCGTTCTAGTGGGGAAGGACCGGCTGGACCCCCAAATCCCTTTTTGAATGGAACGCCCCCGGGACCGTTTGCACGAGATTCTGCGTATTCGCATCAGCCTCAGCTACAAGCGGAAACATCGCGGACCAGCTTGGTGACGGTGAACACCCAGGACTCGAGAAATGCCTCGCTTCAATCGCTCAGCTCGGGAAAATCGCCTACGCAAAGCTCGAAGACAGGATTTACGTCAATTTCGGGATCGCAAGCGGGATCTGGATATGAATACAGCGCGCCTCCTTCGGCAGGAGGTGGTATTGCATCCCCCAATGGGTACGGCCCATTCTCCCAGTCCTTCTCATTTCAGTCGCAACCCCCTTCGAATGCGCCGGCTTATCCCCCCTCATACGATGCTCGGCCTTATGGCAGCTCGCCCTGGAAGCCGGGAATGCCAGAGACTGCGCGTGTTGAAGAAATGAAGCGCGGGTATGCGGGTCATCCGATGGCGGGACAACCCCATCCGGATTCTGTCAAACGGCACTCCGAGGTCTACGATGTGGAGCAGTCCCTTAATGAGGTAGGTGGTCTTCTTATTTCGGGGAAACAGTGGATTTATCGGCCTTTGAGAGCCACTGGATTGGATATGATCATTTGCTAACTGGTGTAGATTGCCGACATGAGCTCCCGCACCTTGGATTTTTCGCGACACTATGCCCAAAGGGCGCACCAGACCCAGCGTTCTGGACCAGTCTTAGGGTCTCTGCCCTCTCTACACGAAGTGGAGGATATGCTTAGTCTCCAACGCCGGAACCAGGAGGCTCTATTGCGTATACGAACCGCTGTCCTGAACCAGGAACATGCCTTGGCAGAGCAAATAGCCCAACGAAAAGCCTTCAAACATGGTGGGGTTCGCGAGGATGATCACATGGCAATGTACCAGGAAGACTTCAAGGGCAGTGGTGGGTTTGCCGGACCGGATTCGAAGAAGCGACGAGGGGTAGGTTTTACTCATCCCATTTCTTTTTTTTTGCCCTTGGCTTTTCCCCATTGGGTGTTTCTTTCTATTTAGAGCCCTCTTTATCCACTTGTGATTTGCCATCACTGACAGTCATTGCAGAAAGCGGCCCCCCCTGGCCGTTGCCACAGCTGTAACCGAGCCGAAACGCCGGAATGGCGCCGTGGTCCAGACGGTGCCCGGACTTTGTGCAATGCCTGCGGCTTGCATTACGCCAAGTTGACGCGCAAGATGGGCGCCAAACAGGCATCGTCCTTGGGATCGAATCTCAAACCGAAGTCCCTTGACTCCGCATCTCCGAGTAGCCATTAATCTGTCGATCCAGCTTGATTTTTATGTGGCGTTGAAAACGGCTTTGTGATTAGAAGTGACAGGCGTTTTACAGTGTCCTGTCTTCACTTTTGGTCAGGAACTCTTCTGTGTTGGTCTGATTCTAATGTTTCCTTTCAAGCATGGTGAGCATGGTATCATTTGATTTTGCCTTCAGGAAACAGGCTCGGTTGTACTTGGCTGTGAACCATCTGTGGGCTGCTTTTTTTCCTTATTTTCCCCTTATTTTCTTTTTTTTTTTTCCCGTTCGATTTGGTCATCGGAATCACTTTTTAATACCCGTCGCACGTTGTGGGAAAAGGCATTTGGATAGACTTTCACATTTTTCTTTTTCGCTGTTTTGCTTTCATTTCCTTTGTCTTTTGTTGCTGCATCTGTGGAACTGGTGCGTACACAGTTCGATGCCATATTATCTCATTTACTGCCGTCGTGTTGCGTTGATTGGTTTTTTGTTACCATATACCCCATTTTACCTGTCACCTATTGCTCGTCTGGGAACTGCACAGGTGACGATTATTGTCATATATGATCTTATATTATGCACTCACGTCTTAACTGTTTTGGGCAAAAGAAATTGAGAGGTTGATTTTGTGCAGCACTTTGACGTAACCATGGCTGTCTATAATCTTTTGTAGCTGTAGTTGTATGTATGTATGTATGTATAGTGGCCTTGATAATTGTACATTCCGTGATTTCTTTGTGTTGTAAGATCCACGTTGAACCTACGAGCTTCTGCGTAGTACTCAATGCCCATCTGTCACTTGCGCTGTTCTCCCCGGGAGCCCTCAAGGTATCCCACCTCTGATTTCGGTAGATCAAGATGGCAATTCTTGTCCCCCGAGCCCTGGATCTCATGCACCGAATTATGTCATACAGGACCCTCTGAAGGTTCTGAGCATGTCCCATTTTGCTATCCTTCAATCCCATAGGGCTGTTCTATTAGCCACCGCTACAGTGGCGGCGGGTATACACATGAACCGAAGCCTTGGCTTCGTAATTATTGCCTCCAACTTACCTATTCTAGGCTATTGCCTCCTGAAGAATCTGCAAGCGAGGCACCAGTACCGCGGTTTCCTTCCTCCGAAAGTCATTGTTGAAGGCGTTCGGAGGCTGTGTACGGAGTACGATACTATCGCCCGATAGAAACGAAGCTCGGCTTTCATATTTCGGAGTACGCCGTCGCTTCGGACGGTTTGCCCTCGGTTAGAAAAAAAAACCCTTTTTATGACTATTTGTTACTTTATCTGTAGGCTTAAGGTTCAACCGGACTTTGTTGTCGAGATGTTGTGTTGTAGACCCTTACTACCATCACAATGTATGCTCCTTTCTATCGGGCGGGAGAACCAAATCGTTTACCCGATTCGGTTTAGTCCCTAGAACTAAGATGTCTTACCTCATCCGACTCCTTGTCCAATCTCCAATCCATTGACCAATGAATGGCCCAGGACACACTAGAACCGCCCAGAACCGCCCCCGCGGAACCACTGATGCTTCCATTCCTCGGGGAGCCCGGGGAGTAAAGTATGGCATGATGAGTTACGGCCGGGAGGAGTTGTATGCTGAATGTTAAAGTCGGTCTGGGAGATGGGGATTCTTCGGCATCCTTCTGGATCTTTGCTTCCTTGCGGGTTAACTAGCTCGGACTTACACTCGGACGTAGGAAACGTTATGTGACGAATCGTAGAATCCCATCGAACGTGTGCTTTTGATTAATTTTAATCTATTTAAGTTACTGATGGTGGCCCACCAGTCATACGCCGTAGACAGCGAGCGATTGACCGAGGCAAAATACTAGGGTGTTGGAACTAAGTAGAGGAGGGAATTTGTTAACGAATCCGATGTAGTTGTGTAATTAATCGCTGGTTGCCTTACAGACAGCGAGAGAGGGGAGAGGCGTAGTCTAGCTCTTAGGAGAGCACTAAACACCCAATCCATCAAGACACTATGACTGGAGAAGGCAAAAGCGAAATGACGAAAAACCAACAGACGGGCGCAAACATGTCCTAGCGACATGACCCTGTAGTCCGTACT